AATGTGACCTGTTGACAACCATGATCCGATCATGAACTCCGTGTTGTTTTTGTTCCCGTGACTTCATTGGGAAGCATTCTGCTTCTTTAATCTCAAATCTAAATGAGTTTTCTGTCGTAGATCATGTCGAACATCTAGACCGAGGGACATACTTGTGTACATTGTTTTCATGTTCAATTAAGTAGGATCGCTTAAAAAAGCGGTTTCCATCTGTATTCCAAGAAAAGTGTCCCGTAAACACTTCCTATGACTACCAAAGATTAACTGAAGAGTTACCATAGCGATGATGTTATCAACTACCGTGATTTTCCGACTAATCAAGAGCTTCTTAGGGTACCTTATGTGTACTGTGCCATTGTAATCAAAACATAACTGACCGAATCTCCACACGTCTGACAGTATTCGTGTCGTTATTTCTCACGAAGGTCTCCTTTGTCATCTCTGACTCGCCTCAAATCTTCATGACCTGGACTCTGAACAGGGTTGGTGTGTGCACCTGTGTGGAGGAGGTTGTTGTGTTCGCCCGTTGTGGAGGAGGTTGTTATGTGCACCTGTCGTAGAAGGGGCTGCTGACACCCGGTGTTGCCAAGGGTTGTTGTGTGCACCGGGTGTAGAGGAGGGTTTTTGTGTGCACCGGATGTAGAGAAGATGGCAGTGTACACCCGCTGTTGAGAAGGGTTCTTATGTGCACCCGATGTTGAGGAGGGGTGTTGTGTGCACCTGATGTTGAGGACGGTTATGTGCAACTTGTGTAGGGGGAGGGGGTGGGGTGTGGGGTGTGGGGTGTGGGGTGTGGGGTGTGGGGTGTGGGGTGTGGGGTGTATTATATCCATCTGGTGTATACGGGGTTGTTGTGTGCACCTGGTGTTGAGATAGGCTGCTGTGTGCATCTGGTGTAGAGGGGGTTGTTGTGTGCACCTGGTGTAGTGGAGGCTGCTGTGTGCATCTGGTATAGAGGGGGTTGTTGTGTGCACCTGGTGTAGAGGGGGTTGTTGTGTGCATCTGGTGTAGAGGGGGTTGTTGCGTGCACCTGATGTAGAGGGGGTTGTTGTGTGCACCTGGTGTAGTGGAGGCTGCTGTTTGCATCTGGTATAGAGGGGGTTGTTGTGTGCACCTGGTGTAGAGGGGGTTGCTGTGTGCATCTGGTGTAGAGGGGGTTGTTGCGTGCACCTGATGTAGAGGGGGTTGTTGTGTGCACCTGGTGTAGAGGGGGTTGTTGTGTGCACCTGGTGTAGTGGAGGCTGCTGTGTGCACCTGGTGTAGAGGGGGTTGTTGTGTGCACCTGGTGTAGTGGAGGTTGCTGTGTGCACCTGGTGTAGAGGGGGTTGTTGTGTGCACCTGGTGTAGAGGGGGTTGTTGTATGCACCTTGTGCAGTTGAGGTTGCTGTGTACACCTGGTGTAGAGGGGGTTGTTGTGTGCATCTGGTGTGTGTGTGTGGGGGGGGGGTTGTTGTGTGCACCTGGTGTTGAAGAAGGTTGTGTGCACCTGGTGTAGAGGGGGTTGTTGCGTGCACCTGGTGTGGTGGAGGTTGTTGTGTGCACCTGGTGTCGTTTGGGTTGTTGTGTGCACCTGTCGAGTGTATGCTGTAAAGACAAGTGTTGTTGTGTTACCCTGATGTAATAGTTGAATCTTGTTTAGAGCTGGGATATGTATGAATTATGTTCCATCCCTCTATCTTCTTTATATATATTCATTCCGTTATGTTAAATATGTTGTATCTCTGGTACGACCGACATCACACGAAACAACGCACAAAATAACTAGACAATTTATACCAAAGCGAAGAGCCCACAAAAGACATGCAAACAGTGCAGTAAAGATATTCTACTTCAGTCACCGACGGGAGAAGCCCGCCGTTCTATCAGGACCAGACTGAAACCTAAACTCCTGTTGCCGCTAAGTCAGCTCGACCCAATAAGTGTAGGACAGGGATGTATCCGGGTTGCTTGTCGGGTAGATCCGTTCCGTGCTTGTCGGACAGAGACGGGTTGTCGTATGCACCCGGTGTAGTAAGGGTTTGTTGTTTGCATCCTGTGTAGTGGTTGTTGTTGTGTGCACCTGGTGTTGAGGAGGGTTGTTGTGTGCACCTGGTGTTGAGGAGGGTTGTTGTGTGCACCTGCTGTAGAGTGGCATGGTTGTGTGCACCTGCTGTAGAGTGGGGTCGTTGTGTGCACCTGTTGTACAATGGGGTGGTTTTTTCCCCCTGCTGTACAGAGGGGTGGTTGTGTGCAACTGCGGTAGAATAGGGTTGTTGTGTGCAACTGTGGTAGTGTTGAGGGCTTGTGTGCATCTGCTGTAGAGTGGAGTTGTGTTCACCTGCTGTAGAGTGGAGTTGTGTACATCTGCTGTAGAGTGGGGTTGTTGTGTGCACTTGCTGTAGAGTGGGGTTGCTGTAGTGTGGGGTTGTTGTGTACATCAGCTGTAGAGTGGGGTTGTTGTGTACACCTGCTGTAGAGTGGGATTGTTGTGTGCACTCGCTGTAGAGTGGGGTTGTTGTGAGCACCTGCTGTAGAGTGGGGTTGTTGTGTACACCTGCTGTAGAGTGGGGTTGTTGTGTGCACCTGCTGTAGAGTGGGGTTGTTGTGAGCACCTGCTGTAGAGTTAGGTTGTTGTGTGCACTTGCTGTAGAGTGGGGTTGTTGTGTGCACCTGCTGGAGAGTGAGGTTATTGTGTGCACCTGCTGGAGAGTGAGGTTGTTGTGTACATCTGCTGTAGAGTGGGGTTGTTGTGAGCACCTGCTGTAGAATGCGTTTTTTGTGTACACTTGCTGTAGAGTGGGGTGGTTGTTTGCACCAGCTGTAGCGTGGGGTTGTTGTGTTCACCTGCGGTAGAGTCGGGTTGTTGTGTGCACTTGCTGTAGAGTGGGGTTGTTGTGTGCACCTGCTGTAGAGTGGGGTTGTTGTGCGCACCTGCTGTAGAATTTGGTTGTGGTGTTTACCTGCTGTAGAGTGCAGTGGTTGTGTAGCACCCAATAAGTGTAGGACAGGGATGTATCCGGGTTGCTTGTCAGGTAGATCCGTCCCGTGCTCGTCGGACAGAGACGGGTTGTCGTATGCACCCGGTGTAGTAAGGGTTTGATGTTTGCATCCTGTGTAGTGGTTGTTGTTGTGTGCACCCGGTGTTGAGGAGGGTTGTTTTGTGCACCCGGTGTTTAGGGGGTTGTTGTGTGCACCTGGTGTACAGGGGGTTGTTGTGTGCACCTGGTGTAGTGGAGGTTGTTGTGTGCACCTGGTGTACAGGGGGTTGTTGTGTGCACCTGGTGTAGTGGAGGTTGTGTGCACCTGGTGTTTAAGGGGTTGTTGTGTGCACCTGGTGTTGAGGGGGTTGTTGTGTGCACCTGGTGTTTAAGGGGTTGTTGTGTGCACCTGGTGTTTAAGGGGTTGTTGTGTGCACCTGGTGTTTAAGGGGTTGTTGTGTGCACCTGGTGTTTAAGGGGTTGTTGTGTGCACCTGGTGTTGAGGAGGTTGTGTGCACCTGGTGTTTAAGGGGTTGTTGTGTGCACCTGGTGTTTAAGGGGTTGTTGTGTGCACCTGGTGTAGTGGAGATTGTTGTGTGCACCTGGTGTTTAAGGGGTTGTTGTGTGCACCTGGTGTTGAGGGGGTTGTTGTGTGCACCTGGTGTTTAAGGGGTTGTTGTGTGCACCTGGTGTTTAAGGGGTTGTTGTGTGCACCTGGTGTAGTGGAGGTTGTTGTGTGCACCTGGTGTACAGGGGGTTGTTGTGTGCACCTGGTGTTTAAGGGGTTGTTGTGTTCACCTGGTGTAGTGGAGGTTGTGTGCACCTGGTGTTTAAGGGGTTGTTGTGTGCACCTGGTGTAGTGGAGGTTGTGTGCACCTGGTGTTTAGGGGGTTGTTGTGTGCACCTGGTGGTGTAGAGGTTGTGTGCACCTGGTGTTTAAGAGGTTGTTGTGTGCACCTGGTGTTTAAGGGGTTGTTGTGTGCACCTGGTGTAGTGGAGGTTGTTGTGTGCACCTGGTGTTGAGGGGGTTGTTGTGTGCACCTGGTGTTTAAGGGGTTGTTGTGTGCACCTGGTGTTTAAGGGGTTGTTGTGAGCACCTGGTGTAGTGGAGGTTGTGTGCACCTGGTGTTTAAGGGGTTGTTGTGTGCACCTGGTGTAGTGGAGATTGTTGTGTGCACCTGGTGTTTAAGGGGTTGTTGTGTGCACCTGGTGTTTAAGGGGTTGTTGTGTGCACCTGGTGTTGAGGGGGTTGTTGTGTGCACCTGGTGTTTAAGGGGTTGTTGTGTGCACCTGGTGTTTAAGGGGTTGTTGTGTGCACCTGGTGTAGTGGAGGTTGTGTGCACCTGGTGTTTAGGGGGTTGTTGTGTGATCCTGGTGTAGTGGGGGTTGTTGTGTGCACCTGGTGTTTAAGGGGTTGTTGTGTGCACCTGGTGTTTAAGGGGTTGTTGTGTGCACCTTGTGTTGAGGGGGTTGTTGTGTGCACCTGGTGTTTAAGGGGTTGTTGTGTGCACCTGGTGTTTAAGGGGTTGTTGTGTGCACCTGGTGTAGTGGAGGTTGTGTGCACCTGGTGTTTAGGGGGTTGTTGTGTGCTCCTGGTGTAGTGGGGGTTGTTGTGTGCACCTGGTGTAGTAGTGGTCGTTGTGTCCACCCGGTGTTGAGTAGAGTTGTCTTGTGCACCTGGTGTTGAGTAGAGTTGTCTTGTGCACCTGGTGTTGAGTAGAGTTGTCGTGTGCACCTGGTGTTGAGGAGGGTTGCGTGCACCTGGTGTAGTTGAGTTTTTTTGTGTGCACCTGGTGTAGACTAGGTTTTTTGTGTCCACGCGGTGTAGTGGAGGTTGTTGTGTGCACCTGGTGTAGTGGAAGTTGTCGTATGCATCCTGTGTACGTAGTGGTGGTTGTTGTGTGCACCCGGTGTAGAGCGGGATTGTCGAGTACACCATAAAGCAGAGCACCACAAAAGACAGATCACACAAATATCGCAGTAAAGCTAACCTCAGTCAGTCACGGGTGGGAGAACCCCCTCGTTCCCTACACAGACTAAACTGAAACTCCTGTTGCCGCTCTGTCAACTCGAGGCAATAGGAAAGGATGTATCTGGATGGCTTGGCGGACAGATCCTTCCCAACCATGGAGAGCCGTACACGTCTTCTTCTACTGGTGCTGGGGATGTCAGTTTTCACTGCGGTAAGTAGATCAGTACTGATATGCTCCCTAGTTGTCTTCCTTTGTTTCTCTGAACGAGGAAGGTGGGCATTAATAGCCAGCTATTCTGCACTGTAAATAGGGAAAATGCATTAACTAAGTTATACATTTGATTTACTCTAGTTTGGAGTGCTCCAGACTGTTGTACCAACAGTGTAATGTACTCAAATGTGATGTACCCATGTGTCATGTTTTCCAGTGTACTCGAGTATGATGTACTCCATTGTGATGACCTCCAGTGTAATGTACTCGAGTATGATTTACTACAGAGTTATGTACTCCAGTGTAATGTACTCCATTGTAATATACTCTCATGGGATGTACTCCAGTGTGATGTACTCCATTGTGATATACTCTAATGGGATGTACTCCAGTGTGATGTACTCCATTGTGATATACTCTAATGGGATGTACTCCAGTGTGATGTACTCCATTGTGATATACTCTAATGGGATGTACTCCAGTTTGATGTACTCCATTGTGATATACTCTAATGGGATGTACTCCAGTTTGATGTACTCCATTGTGATATACTCTAATGGCATGTACTCAAGTGTGGTTTACTGCAGTGTGATGTATTCCAGTGTAATCTTTTCGTGTGTGATATACTTCTGTGAATCTATTCCGTCTTTTCGGAGATACCGCCTTTCTATAAATACCGGGTGTTAGGGATACCTTTCGGCGTGATACGAAGACAGCAATCTTATTTTGAAACTTATTTCGAATAAGCTATTCCTCAAATTATCTGCCAATCCTCCGCACACACAATCTTCACTACCGTAATCTTTTTCACAATATTTCACAAAAATTTCTTTCAATTATGTATGAGTTGTATGTCGTTTGGAAGACGACAAAACTCATCCCCTGCGCTGAGTGAGTGAGTGAGTGAGTTGGGTTTAACGCCGTTTTTAACAGTAATCCAGTTATATCGCGGCGCGCCAGCTTATTGTAGGATGAAAGCCCGAAGTGATGCAGGTCTCAGACGTTTACCTCTTCTGTGAAACCCACGAGCACGGGTATGGTGCTGACAAACACAGAAACATAATCGGGGCGAACCGGGATTCGAACCCACAATCATCGGTTCCTGGCTCGCCCGAGGGACGAAACCCTGCACAGCGAATCGGGTCACGAAACGTCTGGGCCACCCGTGCCCACCTGCGCTGTACCTGGTTATGTTGTTTTCAAAACCCAAACCACACATTCATCCACTGAATTCCTGGAATCTTCTGTTACTGTTCTGGTGCGTCTCAGTGAGATAAATCCCCAAAACATGACACGTTTGATCAAAATGAAATGGACTCTTTTCGTGATAAGGAAAACGTATCCAACACTCATTCAAGGTGGTCTACCAGAATGCATCTATGAATGCATGTTAATTAGCAGAAGTGTTCTTAAATTGAGCTCCATGTCGACGACGCCCAATATGGCCTTGGTGGTAGTATATAAGTTCTCAACAACACCCAAGATGGCTTTGGTGGTAATGTTGCAAACTACTACCGATGTCACATGTGTGATGTCGAGAACTGATATACTACCAGCAGTCATATTGGGCGTTGTCGACCTGGAGAACTGTCGTATTACCACCAATGTCACATGGAGTGTTGTCGAGAACTGATATTCTACAAGCACTCATATTGGGCGTTGTCGACCTGGAGAACTGTCATATGACCACCAATGTCACATTGAGTGTTGTCGAGAACGGATATACTACCAGCAGTCATATTGGGCGTTGTCGACCTGGAGAACTGTCGTATTACCACCAATGTCACATTGAGTGTTGTCGAGAACGGATATACTACAAGCACTCATATTGGGCGTTGTCGACCTGGAGAACTGTCATATGACCACCAATGTCACATTGAGTGTTGTCGAGAACTGATATACTACAAGCACTCATATTGGGCGTTGTCGACCTGGAGAACTGTAATATGACCACCAATGTCACATTGAGTGTTGTCGAGAACTGATATACTACCAGCAGTCATATTGGGCGTTGTCGACCTGGAGAACTGTCATATGACCACCAATGTCACATTGAGTGTTGTCGAGAACTGATATACTACAAGCACTCATATTGGGCGTTGTCGACCTGGAGAACTGTCATATTACCACCAATGTCACATTGAGTGTTGTCGAGAACTGATATACTACCAGCAGTCATATTGGGCGTTGTCGACCTGTAGAACTGCCATATTACCACCAATGTCACATTGAGTGTTGTCGAGAACGGATATACTACCAGCAGTCATATTGGGCGTTGTCGACCTGGAGAACTGTCGTATTACCACCAATGTCACATTGAGTGTTGTCGAGAACGGATATACTACAAGCACTCATATTGGGCGTTGTCGACCTGGAGAACTGTCATATGACCACCAATGTCACATTGAGTGTTGTCGAGAACTGATATACTACAAGCACTCATATTGGGCGTTGTCGACCTGGAGAACTGTAATATGACCACCAATGTCACATTGAGTGTTGTCGAGAACTGATATACTACCAGCAGTCATATTGGGCGTTGTCGACCTGGAGAACTGTCATATGACCACCAATGTCACATTGAGTGTTGTCGAGAACTGATATACTACAAGCACTCATATTGGGCGTTGTCGACCTGGAGAACTGTCATATTACCACCAATGTCACATTGAGTGTTGTCGAGAACTGATATACTACCAGCAGTCATATTGGGCGTTGTCGACCTGTAGAACTGCCATATTACCACCAATGTCACATTGAGTGTTGTCGAGAACGGATATACTACCAGCACTCATATTGGGCGTTGTCGACCTGTAGAACTGTCATATTACCACCAATGTCACATTGAGTGTTGTCGAGAACTGATATACTACAAGCACTCATATTGGGCGTTGTCGACCCGGAGAACTGTCATATGACCACCAATGTCACATTGAGTGTTGTCGAGAACGGATATACTACCAGCAGTCATATTGGGCGTTGTCGATCTGTAGAACTGTCATATTACCACCAATGTCACATTGAGTGCTGTCGAGAACTGAGATACTACCAGCACTCATATTGGGCGTTGCCGACCTGTAGAACTGTCATATTACCACCAATGTCACATTGAGTGTTGTCGAGAACTGAGATACTACCAGCAGTCATATTGGGCGTTGTCGACCTGGAGAACTGCCATATTACCACCAATGTCACATTGAGTGTTGTCGAGAACTGATATACTACCAGCAGTCATATTGGGCGTTGTCGATCTGTAGAACTGTCATATTACCACCAATGTCACATTGAGTGTTGTCGAGGACTGAGATACTACCAGCAGTCATATTGGGCGTTGTCGACCTGGAGAACTGCCATGTTACCACTGATGTCACATTGAGTGTTGTCGAGACACTAACACCGAAGTCATACTGAGACTTGGTGAGAACAGCGATATTACAACATAATCATCGTGGATGTTGTCACTGGAACTCCAATACTAACACCAAAGTCATAGAGGGTGTTGTGGAGGACTGCGATATTACCATGAGTCATGTTCTTGTGGTGGTGGTTTTACAGGTAATGACGACATCCAACACGACACTGATTGTAAAACAGATTGTGAGAACAACCATGTACCTGACAATACAGTCGTTCAGGTACAATCTGAAAGGTATATAAGGGTTTCAAAAATATACAACATTATATAGACAGAATTCCGTTACATTGTTGTATCTAGTGACAGGTAGTAAACTGGATACAAAAGCTGGAAATCATCAGAGCAGCACGAAAGGGATATTACCCACGTTACAACTCCCAGCTCTTACTGGTGCAACACGAGGTCAACACGACTCAGTCATAGTGCGGCATCGTGGTTAGCCCATGATATACCCATGTAACATAAAGTGCACTTATATTCTTACGACCCTAAACGGCGCAACAGACATGCACTAACTCAGATAAATCTACTGAATCACAAACGATGATCCAACTGTGTCAACAACGTGTTGAAATTTCTGGGAATAGAGTTGGTAGATAAGCATAGGGAGAGCACATTAACTCTCTTTGCCAGGCGCACCTTTGTCGTGCATAAACTTGATAGAGGTGGGGAGATTTCAGACAATAAGCTGTATCAGGTGGTCAGACAGGATTTCCACTCCCTTGAGTTTTATCTCCCCCTTTGTCCGTGAATGTTTTCTGCAGTCTACTATTACTCTTCCTGGTCAGAGCGATCGTATTTAGGCTAGAAGCATGACATTTGTCAAATGTTCAAGTGCTCGTTGTAAAGTATTGTTGGTTGGATATAAATGAGTGAGTGTGCTTTCACGCTGTATATTTGTTGGAGTCGTTGCCTCAAACCACACACGTACATGTGTTGGTTTAGTGTACAAATGTTCTAGTTGCAAGTATTGTTTTAGTGTACATGTGTTGTTTTAGTGTATATGTGATGTTTTAGTCTGCACGTTTTGGCATTAATCATTTTTGTTAACTGAAAACATTCAGAGGAATTACTGAAGCATTCTCAAAATAACAAGAAGACCCAGCAAGTCTACATGTCGATGGTATATGTTATAGTACCATGGGATGCATATTGGATAATTAATATGCAGCATGGCATGTAAACTAAGAATTACACAGATTAGAGATTTTACTTATTTTAAAATGTATCAGAAAATCAGTGATCAAGATGAAAAGGGGGTGATAATTTAGTGTGTAGTGAGCGGACTGATGAGTTGAAACGGAACACAGTCAAGGCCGGCAATTACGAACCATTCCCTTTGTTGTGAAAAAAATCATGCATGAAGATACCTAGTTTTACCTACCGGTTAGCAGATTACTGTGTCTGTAGCAGAGGCACGTCTTCCGATAGGTACAGAAATGCTTCTGACTCCATTACAATCATGGTGTGAGCTAATCAGACAAGAAGATGACTTTCAAAAACCAATATGAGGTAATGAACACGTATTTGCGGGATGTAGATAATAATGTTTAGCGACTAACTGCTAAGAGGGTTTCAGTAGTCCTATCTCTGAATATATGTATTTGAGTGCAGCTGGATCTAAAACACCAGTGCCTTTTGTGTGGGTAAAAAGCAGATGATAGCAAGCATTGGAACATGTCTCAAAGGTGAAGACTTAAACAAGAGTAAAGTGGAACACAGTGGCCAAGTTGTACATTCGCTGAGTAGAGTGCCTGAAACTATGGTCGTTGATTCTAATCCCAAGTTCACCCTGATTACGTTTGTTTTGACAATACTCTTGCACGGAGGTGTCACCGAAGAGATAACTCACGCATTGCAGAGAAAGCATACGCCACCATGTACAGTGTTTTGAGAGCCTGAACATCTGTCGCACTGTCTGATAGCAAGCTTGTCTGGAGCTCAGATGGCAACTCGGCGGTTCGTTGTGGTGGCTTTTAACCTTGGGGAGACGCACATACACAGTTCCTCATTCCCAGAACGAAATGGACACAGTGATAGCCAACACACTATACGTGGACTCAGTGAAATCACTTGTAAACATGAGTGTCACTCCATCCGACATCACATGTGGGGATAGTTGTATGATAATTCCAAGGATATTGCTATAATTTCAATACCTTCTTTGTGATCACATCGCGCATATGTAATCCCGATATGGACCTTCCAACTTTAGAATTAGATCAAATTGATAAACTGTTAGCAAATGTAATTTTGATGGAACATGAAGTTTGAGATATACTACTGTCCGTGGAAACCACAAAGGCAACTGGCCCTGATGACGTTGGGTATAAGATACTTAAAAGTACAGCTTACGGAATAGCGCCAATCCTTTCTAAACTATTCAATTTCTCTCTTCAACCCGCAAGATATTCTAATCACTATGGAAAAAACTTGAATCTTTCATATTCATAAAAACAACAGCGTCAATGAATGTACAATGTATGTAATCATAGCAGATCCTGATATAGCGGCTCGTGATTTCAATAATGACTTGGACAGAATTTCAGAATGGGCTGCCATATGGCAAGTTAAATTTAGTCCCCAAAAAACTGAATCTATTCAATTTACCCGTAACGTAAACCCTAGTCGTAAACCTAACTTAAATATGAATGGTACAGAAATCGAAGATGTACAATGTCATAAGCATCTTCGTATGACGGGGGGGACTTCCTTTTTGAGCGCAGTCAGCGTCGGGTGACAATATCCCCCATCAAGCCGCTCGCCGAAGCGTAAAGTCACGATTGGCGGAGCTTGGCAAATGAAAGGCCCTGGATTTGAACACAAACTGCTTGTTAAAGAAATCACGTGAAGGACATGTTATCGTCAAATCAACGAAAATGACAAAAGCTGAATTTACTTCGTGGTATTTAATATTGTGAAGTGTAGTGGACATGTTTACTTCTGCGCAGATGTATTAACATGGCGCGTGTTCCCCGTGACCGACTTCAGTGATCTTGTTAGCACACACTCACATAGAAAGGACAAGGTTGTTGGAACATTGTTTACTTCAAATGAAAAAGAACACCGCTCTTGTATTTAATCACCTCCCGCCTTTCTCCCCGCCGTCTGTCCCACCCATCTCTGCCCCACCCATCGCTGCCCCACCAAACCCTAAACCACCCACCCCTGCCTCACCCATCGCTGCCCCACCAAACCCTAAACCACCCACCCCTGCCTCACCCATCGCTGCCCCACCAAACCCTAAACCACCCACCCCTGCCTCACCTATCGCTGCCCCACCAAACCCTAAACCACCCACCCCTGCCTCACCCATCGCTGCCCCACCAAACCCTAAACCACCTGTCCCTGCCTCGACCATCGCTGCCCCACCATACCCTAAACCACCAATCCCTGCCTCACCCATCGCTGCCCCACCAAACCCTAAACCACCCACCCCTGCCTCACCCATCGCTGCCCCACCAAACCTTAAACCACCCATCCCTGCCTCACCCATCGCTGCCCCACCAAACCCTAAACCACCCACCCCTGCCTCACCCATCGCTGCCCCACCAAACCCTAAACCACCCACCCCTGCCTCACCCATCGCCGCCCAACCATACCCTAAACCACCCATCCCTGCCTCACCCATCGATGCCCCACCAAACTCTAAACCACCTGTCCTTGCCTCACCCATCGCTGCCCCACCAAACCCTAAACCATCCACCCCTGCCTCACCCATCGCTGCCCCACGAAACCCTAAACCACCCATTCCTGCCTTACCCATTGCTGCCCCACCAAACCCTAAACCACACATCCCTGCCTCACCCATCGCTGCCCCATCCATCCCCAAACCACCTGTCCCTGCCTCACCCATTGCTGCCCCACCAAACCCTTCACCACCAATCTCTACCCTACCCATCTCTACACCACCCGTCTCTAATCCAGCTATCCCTACACCACCCATCTCTACACCACCCGTCTCTACCCCACACATTCTTACACCACCCAACCCTATCCCAACTATCTCTAACTAAGCTATCCCTACACCACCCATCTCTACCCCACCCATTTCTACATCACCCATCTCTAACCTAGCCATCCCTACACCACCCATCTCTACCCCACCCATTTCTACACCACCCACCTCTACTCAACCATCTCTACACCACCCATCTCTAAACCAGCCATTCCTACCCCACCCAACTCTAACCCACCCGCTCATACTCCACCCAACTCGACACCTCCTCCCTCTTACCAAGCTATCCCTACACCACACAACTCTACACCTCCCATATCTAAACCAGCCATTCCTACACCAACCAACTCTAACCCACCCGCTCATACAACACCCAACTCGACACCACCTCTCTCCTACCCAGCTATCCCTACACCACCCATCTTTAACCCACCCATTCCTGCACCACACAACTCTACACCTCCCATCTCTAACCCACCCATTCCCTCACCACCCAACTTTATACTACCTATCTCTAAATACACAAGAAAGCAATGCGGCCATCATCCAGTTGCCCACCCAGTTGCCCATCTCTTACCCACCAAGCCTGACACCACCTAACTCTACACCACCAATCTCTAAACCACCCATTCCTACACCACCCAACTCTACGCCACCTATCTCTAAATACACAAGAAAGCAATGCGGCCAACACCCAGAAACACGCCCTCCCAGTTGTTATCTGGAGAATAGCAAGACAGCTGATAAACACCCCACTGAATTCCACTCCGCTGGAGTTGATTAACACAGTGTGTCTGCTGGGAGGGATTTCATTGTTTGATTTCAGAAGATACCAAGTTTTCTGTTTATTTTTATCATGGTGGGAAAGCGTGGTTAATTGCGGGCAGGAGCTCCCTCAACATCTTAGCGCCCATCACCGTCATACAGCTGCAGTACACTGAGCACGACGTCCACGGTAACTGTTTTCATATACACCACAACCTGTCAAATGGATGGTGAAGTGCCGATGAGAAGTTGGCATGCCGAACAAGAGAGACAGTGCTATGGATACACAACTTCTTTAAAGCAATGAATGCGACTTTGTGTAGATACTAACCCGTTATTAAGCATGTACTAGTATCTACACAGGAATGTCGCATTCATTGAAATAAAATAATCATATGTCCACAGAACTATCTCCCATACTTGATGGCGGAGTTGAATTTAATATCTCAATGTGAAAGTGAGTCAGGGTGTGCTCCAGATATACTGAGGTTACCGTTATATGTTGATGCCAGACACTTATATCCCTTCTTACAAATGAACTCATCCGCCTTCTTCTGTTCTTTATACAACTTGTTTGGTTTAGGCCAGTAGAAAAATTGAAACACCTAGACATTTTTGATAACAGACAAATTTTATGTTAAAATGAATCATATACATATTCTGTCACACCATACCAAACCCAACCAAAATCAACCTCTGGCAAATATATTTTTAGCCATTTTATTTATTGGGGAAAATATGGTAGAAAAAGGGGAAAATGATTTCTTCATGCAGGCTTAAATCAGGATGTTGGTGATTATTTGCCATATTTGGTGAACAAATACAGATTATGATGATAGAAAATTGAATTGGGATTAATTATTGGGAAAATTAACAATTAACGAGGTGATGTGTGGCAACGCCATACTTGAGTTGTCTCCCTTTAAACATACTTGCATCAACTGTCAAATATGTTGGTATTCTTCATTCCTACTTTTTTTTTGAGGGGGGGTGGGGGGGACGGGTGGCCCAGTCGCTTAAGGCGCCGCGATTCGCTGTGCAGAGTTGCGTCCCCTGGGCACGCCAGAAAACTATAATTGTGGGTTCGAATCCATGTTCGCCCCTATTATGTTTCTAGGTTTGTCAGCACCATACCCGTGCTCGTGGGTTTCACCGAAGTGGTAAACGTCTGAGACCTTCATCACTTCGGGCTTTCCTCCCACATTACGCTGACACGCCCTGATGTGACTGGAATACTGTTAAAAGCGGCATTAAATCCAACTCACTCACTCATTCCTACTTGAATGTTTACTTCAACTTAATGATTTAAGTAAATATCTAGAAACAGCATAAGGTCCATTCCAAATTAAGTCAAGTTGACATATCCATTTTCAGGTAGACATGCTCCCATAATCATAAAAATGTCAATTCTTTTTATCAGTTTTGATGATCAAAATGAAATGTCCACCATAGAGTAGTTGGTAACAACTTGATATCTCTTCCAACAGTTTCACAATCTGTGCATGTATAAATGCTGTTCACACTTCCTGTTGTAGCAGATGGAACTGTTAATCAATTATAGACTATCATCAACAGGAATTCACGCACTTTGCAATGTCTAGGTGTAATTAATTTAGGGGATTTTCCTACTGGCCTAGTCTGTATGTTCACGAAATAATGCAGTCAATAACAATCATATCATACTTGTCTATATTTCAGAGTCGCGGCCAGACTACCCAGAAAATAGGCAACCTGACGCTCGTCTGTCCTCCAGGTGAGTAAGTGAGTGAGTTAGTATGGTTTTACGCCGCTGTTAGCAATATTCCGGCAATATCACGGCAGGGGACACCAGAAATGGGCTTTATACATTGTACCCGGTGACCAATAGTTATGAGAGTGAGAGGAGTGGGCTACTTCTTGCCATCTAACCGGATCGGGTGGTCAGGCTCGCTGACTTGGTTGATGCATGTCATCGTATCCCAATTCCATGGATCGATGCTCAATATATCAATCACTGGATTGTTTTGTCCAGACTCGATTATTTACAGGCCGCCGATATCTAGCTGGAATACTGCTTAGTGCGGCGTTAAACAGCAAACAAACAAAAAAGGTAAAACATTCCTTGTTGATATGACAATTGATATATCAGCCACGAACAGTAATCATTCAGTGCGTGCGTGCGTGCGTGCGTGCGTGCGTGTGTGTGTGTGTGTTTTGTGTATGTGCATGTGCACACGTGTATTAGTAGGTTATGGGATGTGATCCTGAAATATTATCATTATGGAGTCAAGGTCGATATTTATACAAACAGGATGAGACTTATGGCAGGTGTTGGTGTATTTCAGCGGTGTGTCCTGCTGGGCAGTACCGGTCAGCGGACAACACCTGCCAGATGTGTGCAGTCGGGGAGTACCAGCCGGCGTCAGGGCAGACAAACTGTACAACATGTGACACTGGATTTACCACAAAAGCGACAGGATCAAATATGGCAACAGATTGCTTAAGTATGTGTCAGAGATATACGCCAGTAGAGGTTCCGCCATATTCCTTCTGTGGTTTTATTATCACAGAGAGCGTCATTATCCTGCAGAGCGCCATTATCATGTTACTGACTGACTGACTGACTGACTATGGTTTTACGCCGCTTTTAGCAATATTCCAGCAATATCATGGCGGGGGACACAAGAAATGGGCTTCACACATTGTAACCTTGTCAGGAATCGACATTATCATGTTAAGTGTCATTATTATGAAGAATGCCATTATCATGTATCATGATTATCATACAGAGATAATGCCATTATCCTGTATCATGATTATCATACAGAGATAATACCATTATCCTGTATCATGATTATCATACAGAGTGTCATTATCATGAACCATGACAGTATCCTGCACAGCGTCATTATTAGTTAGAGCGCCGATTTCTTGTAGAATGTCATTATCATGAGGAGCATCATTATCATGTACAATGTCATGAAGAGCGTCATTATCATATAGAGCGTCATTAGCATATAGAGCGTCATTATCATATAGAGCGTCATTATCACCTAGAACGTCATAATCATGTAGAGCATCATAATCATGTAGACTATCATTTTAATGTAGGGCGTCATCCCCATGTAGAATATCATTATCAGGTAGCGCGTCATTATCATCTTAAGCCTCCTAATCATATAGACCGTCAATATCATGTAGAGCGTCATTATCATATAGAGCGTCATTATCATGTAGAACATCATTATCATATAGAGCGCCATTACCATTTAGAGCATCATTATCATATAGAGCGCCATTACCATGTAGAGCATCATTATCATGTTAAGTGTCATTAGCATATAGAGCGTCATTATCATGTAGAACATCATTATCATATAGAGCGTCATTATCATGTAGAACATCATTATCATATAGAGCGTCATTATCATGTAGAGCATCATTATCATGTTAAGTGTCATTAGCATATAGAGCGTCATTATCATGTAGAGCATCATTATCATATAGAGCGCCATTACCACGTAAAGCGTGATTACCATGTAGAGCGTCATTATCATGTAGGGCATCATAATCAGGTAGAGTGTCATTATCATGTGATTGTCATTATCATGGAGAGCATCATTATCGTATAGAGCGTCATAATCATATAGAGCGTAATCCCCATGTAGAGCATCATTATCATATAGAGCGTCATAACCATGTAGAGCATCAGAATCAGGTAGAGCGTCATTATCATGTAGAATGTTATTACCATAAAGAGCATCATGATGATGTATGGCGTCATAATCATGAAGAGAGTCATTATCATTTTAAGTTTCATTATCATATAGAGCGCCATTATCAAGTAGAGCATCATTATTATATAGAGCGTCATTACCATGTAGAGCATCATCATAATGTATGGCGTCATAATCATGAAGAGAGTCATTATCATGTAGAATGCCATTATCACCTGAAGCGTCATAATCATGTAGAGCATCATTATCATGTAGAATATCATTATCAGGTAGAGCGTCATTATCATGTAGAATGTCATTATCATTGAGAGCATCATTTTCTTGTAGAGCGTCATTACCACGTAGAGCATCATCATAATGTATGGCGTCATAATCATGAAGAGAGTCATTATCATGTAGAATATCATTATCAGGTAGAGCGTCATTATCATGTAGAATGTCATTATCATTGAGAGCATCATTTTCTTGTAGAGCGTCATTACCACGTAGAGCATCATCATAATGTATGGCGTCATAATCATGAAGAGAGTCATTATCATGTAGAATGTCATTATCATTGAGAGCATCATGTTCGTGTAGAGCGTCATTACCATGTAGAGCATCATCATAATGTACATGTATGGCGTCATAATCATGAAGAGAGTCATTATCATGTAGAAATTATCATTATCAGGTAGAACGTCATTATCACATGAAGCTTCATAATCATGTAGAGCATCATTATCATGTAGGGTATCATTATCAGGTAGAGCGTCATTATCATGTAGAATGTCATTATCATTGAGAGCATCATTTTCTTGTAGAGCGTCATTACCACGTAGAGCATCATCATACTGTATGGCGTCATAATCATGAAGAGAGTCATTATCATGTAGAATGTCATTATCATTGAGAGCATCATTTTCGTGTAGAGCGTCATTACCATGTAGAGCATCATCATAATGTACATGTATGGCGTCATAATCATGAAGAGAGTCATTATCATGTAGAAATTATCATTATCAGGTAGAATGTCATTATCACCTGAAGCGTCATAATCATGTAGAGCATCATTATCATGTAGGGTATCATTATCAGGTAGAGCATCATTATCATGTAGAATGTCATTATCATTGAGAGTATCATTTTCTTGTAGAGCGTCATTACCACGTAGAGCATCATCATAACGTATGGCGTCATAATCATGAAGAGAGTCATTATCATGTAGAATATCATTATCAGGTAGAAATCATTATCATGTAGAATGTCATTATCATGGAGAGCATCATTTTCGTGTCGAGCGTCATTATCATATAGAGCGTAATCCCCATGTAGAGCATCATTATCATAAAGAGCGTCATAACCATGTAGGGCGTTATAATCAGGTAGAACGTCATTATCATTGAGAGCATCATTATCATGTAGAGCGTCATAATCATGAAGAGAGTCGTTTTCATGTAGAGCATCATTATCATGTAGGGCGTCATTATCAGGTAGAGCTTCATTATCAGGTAGAGCGTCATGATCATGAAGAGAGTCGTTTTCATGTAGAGCGTCATTATCACCTGAAGCGTCATTATCATGTAGAACGTCATTTTCATGTAGGGCGTCATTATCGGGTAGAGCTTCATTATCAGGTAGAGCATCGTGGAGAGTGTCACGGTGCATTATTTAGTAAACCATTGCAGACTCAAGTCACTTACAATAATGGTATCCTGACAATGTCAAAACGATGTTCACCAATGTGCTGTTGCAGTCGTGTGTTCCGCGGGGAAGTATCGGAGTTCCCGCACTGTCTGCAGCGTCTGTGACGTAGGAACATACCAGCCCAACACCGGGGCCGAGTCCTGCATCAACTGTACCACTGGCTTCATCACCTCCAACAACGCCTCGACGGCGGAAAGTGACTGTTATAGTAAGTAGAACATGCAGCCACCGCTCCACCCACCTTTTCCCGCGCACCGGAAAGGTTGTTGTTGTTGTTGTTTAACGCTGGACTCAGCAATATTCCAGCTATGTGACGGCGGCCTGTAAATAAGCCTAGACCACACAATCCAGTGATTGATATAATGAGCATCAAACCATGAAATTGGGACACGATGGCATGCATCAACCACGTCAGCGACCCTGACTACTCGATCCCACTTGTTGCCTCTAACGACTAGCGTGGGTTGCTAAAGACCTATTCTTACCCGGATCTTCACAGGTCGCACGTGGAAGGATATACGTAGGAATATAATAATGGCAAATCGATCAAATGTTATGAACCACGACACTAAAAAAAGATACGCATTTCCAAACCACACAAATATCGTCTCATTCATGAATAAGTTTACTTCATGGCCAATTATTTATTGAGTGAATAAACACAGATGTTGGCATTCTCACCTGGCAGGTGTAAAACAAACACCCTGAATGCATTACTGGTACAGTCCGAAACTAACGGTGCCCAATGAAGGTCTGTCTTTGTACCACAGGTGATTGATCGCTTACGTAGCCTGGTGCATGGGCCGTCTGCCCAGAGAGTGATTGAACGCTTACGTAGCCTGGTGCATGGGCCGCCTGCCCAGAGAGTGATTGATCGCTTACGTAGCCTGGTGCATGGGCCGCCTGCCCAGAGAGTGATTGATCGCTTACGTAGCCTGGCTCATGGGCCGCCTGCCCAGAGAGTGATTGATCGCTTACGTAGCCTGGTGCATGGGCCGCCTGCCCAGAGAGTGATTGATCGCTTACGTAGCCTGGTGCATGGGCCGCCTGCCCAGAGAGTGATTGAACGCTTACGTAGCCTGGTGCATGGGCCGCCTGCCCAGAGAGTGATTGATCGCTTACGTAGCCTGGTGCATGGTGCCCAGAGAGTGGTAGATCGGTGGTTCGATCCCCGTACCGAAAGATGTTAAAAATAATATTTTCTCCCTAGGCGTTAAGGGGATAAAACAAGTACTGGTCGGCTCAGAGTCAGCATACTTTCTCTGAGTATTGTATTCATGTCAAACTGCGGCATGGTATCTGAGTGGGATAGTACTATGAATCCGTCATTAACTGGTACAAGCAACCACACACACAAGTGCATGCACGTCGATGATATAAGTGCAATAATCCCGAACACGACGTAAAATCCCATTTCACCTCAACTCCATACACTTGCCTTCATTTCAAACGTTTTATTACACAATTATGTACGCATCGTTTGGTGGCAGATCGTGTGATAATGTCAGTGATGACAGCTTTGTCTTCATCGGATGATAATACATCTTTGTCATGTCTTAATCTTTGTCAATTGCTTCCAGGGCTGTGTCCGGCTGGTCAGTACCGTCCAGCCAGTGACCGCAGAGCGTGCAATGAATGTATGCTGGGCACCTACCAGCCGTCAAGTGGCAAGACGAGGTGCATCACCTGCACGCCCGCTGGTTATATCACATTACAGAATGCCTCTACCAAGGCGGACGACTGCATGCGTGAGTGTTTCTCCTCCAACTGTGCAGCAGTCGTATAATTTGTATAAGTTGTAGTCATGGTGTATGAGAAGCATACGGGATATATTTTAACAAAGTGAAACTTTAGAAAAAATATTGTTATAACTATCTTCTCCTATAGACAAAGAGCTGGTAAGTACGTCATTCACATATATAGCATTACACATTTTGATATAAGCACAAGGAAATTTCGTTTTCATCAATAAATGTCGTTATGTCAAAATAGTTTTGTAGGACATGTTTAAATACTAACACAGCCATTCACAAACCTTGATTGACACTTTTCAAGATCAAATGTTGAAAAAAAATGTATGATGAATCAATTGCCCAAATCCATTGTGATGTCCTTCCAGCTTCGTGTGGCGCAGGGAAATACCTTAATGTGACGTCACGCTCGTGTATCCCGTGTCCCCTTGGCACCTTCTTGCCCACAGCAGGAACCACCACTCAGTGTCGCCTGTGCCCCACCGGCAGGACAACGACCTTGACGGGTGCAACTCAAGAAGCCAACTGTGACCTTGGTACATCCCCATCAATCAATACTTGCTTCATATTATGGCATCATCCAATAACGTTGATCGACCAGAACATTTACAAAATGTGCCACAAATGTAACATATGTTATATTCGGGGTAACACTTTCCTGGTAAAATACACATTCTCGTCCTTGTTTTGTGTTGAGTCCAGTCCGGGATTCGAAACCACACCGCCAGAGTGAAGCACCTAATCGCACACAAAGTCAGCGATCTAACCCACTAAGCCACTGAGGCTTCCACAAAAAATTAAAGTCCGACAACTGGTAGTCTAGATCAGTACTCAGTACTCAGTACCTACCAACCATCAGGACTTCACAAAAGGAAAACTCCCAGAAGCTTTAAAAATACGTTGTCACAAACCGTCGATCAGCAGAGATCAAGGGTATTACACATCGTATGCCTGTGAAGAGCTTATCAAGCAATAGGCCTTTGTAATCAGCTTGTCTTGTTAATCCTTATCCTAACTGTACATCTGGTTTCATTACCTGTCTGTTACTCGTTAAGCAGTTATTAACGTCAATCTACTGCTGACCACAACTTCTTTTGATTAGTGTATATTGTCCTCTTTTCATAAAATTAAAAAATAAACATTTATTTTGGATTGTGTAACTATTCTTTGTAGCCAAAACAAAGTTATATGACAAGAAATACATAAGGATGTTTATGTCGCCTGTTTATCTGCATGATAATACGAGTGGCATGCGGAGTACTCTTGTAGCTCCATCTACTTGCTTGAAAATGCAGAGCAATAAAGTCTCAGTTTTATTAAATATTATATTATCAAAGGTATGGTACTTATCCTTCAAGTATTAGAAGGACGCATTTGCCATATATTGCCACATATCGAATGTTTTGTTCTGTTTTAGTTGACTGTCAGCCAGGTTACTTCAGGAAAGAGAACCAGGGTTGTCAGACATGCGGCAAGGGGTTCTACCAGCCGACCAGAGGACAGACATCTTGTATAAAGTGTGACGTGAACACGACTACATTTCTCTCTGTTACTAATGCCACAGACAAAGCCCAGTGTATCGGTAAGAAGTAACCACATGTATCCCTTGTAGATATATAAGTATTCACTGAAGAGGATTTCGAACTGTCGAGTTCTGTTATTGATATATTGTTTGAAGCGACCGTTAGTTTCATTTGTTATTGCAATGTTATGATCACAGTGTCATTTCTAGTTTTTAGTATTTCTGTAGCTGTCAACATATGATCACACTGCCCTCATACTGACTATGGCATAATGCAATATTGCTGCCTGTATTGTCCAATTTTCCATGATCTTACCCTCTCAGATTGACACCCTCTTGGGGGTCACTCGCCCTCATATAGTGGTTTGTTTGTTTGTTGTTTAACGCCGCAATCAGCAATATTCCAGCTATATGACGTGGTCTGTAAATAATCGAGTCTGGACCAGACAATCCAGTGACTGACATAATGAGCATCGATCATATAGTGGTACTTCCGGTATACAACAAGCAGGTGGTCTCGAGATCTTGTAATTACGGTTCATTGTTTACAAAGCTGTATCTTAATATGTTCTTATATTTTGCCAATTCCATTGCAAAACAAGCTTTGATGAACATCAAGACAGATGTTATATTTCGCTCATGAAGATACTTGTGCATCTTCCATAAAACATATTGGCAATTCCATCCCCTTGGCTGTGTCATTAATGTAAGCTCCTTTCATCTGACCCTTCAATCCCGCTGTGAAAGGTTGTACTTCAGTCACTTTGTAAATTAATGTCTAGAATTTCACATATATTATACAATCATAATCAGGATTATGTTTGAAAAAATCTACTAAACATTTAGTTCCTATATTTCATTAAACACAATGTCAAATAAGCCCCAAACTCACCATATCATCACGACGGTCTGTTCTTCAGCTGACTGCGCTGAGGGAACTGGATATAATCGACTAACAAAAGCATGTGACTCCTGCCCAATCGGTCAGATCCGGAAACCCAACATCAGCGACTACTGCTACTTCTGTCCTACTGGTCAGACTACGGCATTTGCAGGATCAAAGACATGCTTGGACTTCCAAGGTGAGATATGGAAGTTGGCTCTACACATTGAAATTTCCTTAGATGTGACATAGAGTGTTTAGCTTCTCCATCAAGTTCTATTTTCTTACACTATTTTCTTTATCGTATTGTGTATACTGTCGTAATCTGTGTTTTCTTCCTCTTGAAGCTACTACACGGGCACCTGTGTTCAAGACAGTGACAGTACGGATGTCATTCTTTGTAACGTCATGCCAGAACCCGACTTTGATTCATAACACGATCACAGCACAGATCAGGTTCTTAATCACAATCCGTGCAAGCGTGTTCCCGGGCCTCTGTCAGGGCAGTTCCTGTGGTAACATTGCGATCATCATCATAGTTCCGTGCGGAGGGACCCGCAGGAAGAGGCAAACAGGAGAAACAATCACTGCTGAAGTAAAAGCGTCAAATCTCCCGTAAGTGAAAAACACTCAACCTCCAATTATTATTTTTGCAAATGTATGAGGACAATTGTAAATATCCAATAACTCTACGGCTTTGAATAGATATTATGTCATGTCCTTTTTCATATAACACGTGAGTTCCACAGCAACACATGCTTGTCATAAGAGGCGATTAAATGGATCGTTGTTCAAGCTCGGTGACTTTGTTGATTGTGCAGTAAAGCATCCCTGTAGCATGAATCGATGCCTGTGATGTCAGTCGCTGACAGAATCGATTATTTACAGCCATCCGTCATGTAGCTGTTGCGTTGCTGAAACCGACAGACAAACAAACAATAATATAGTTGTATTTTGGTGACAGAGAGCAAATACCCAACACAGACAACACTCTTTCAAGAAGTCCTGAATCGCTGCTGGTGCAGGCTCTGGACGATAACGCTGCTGCCACCCCAGTCCTGGTAAGTCTGTACATGTTTCAGGTTCAGTGATCACCTTGGTGTGTGAGACCGTCGTGCATTCATGAGAATCTGTCTCATCGCATTGCATGCAAGATAATTTATCAACCTTCAGGGACAAATATTCTTTATAAGTTTGTAATGTACCAGGCTTAAATATGTAAATAAAAGCCATAAAACGTTTTCCAAAATCAGAGTCCAGTGTGCGAGTGGATTATCACTACCTACTATCACTAATGTGGTTGAAGCTGTCACAGACTCAATTCAGTACGTAGAAACTGCAGTGTTTTATGAACTCACATGTTGGTCTGGTGCTTCAATGTAAAAAGTTGAATGTTTTGGCCTTTAATACTCCAAATTTTTTGATTGCTACTTTGATAAACAGATGACAAGTAAAAGGTAATATTACTCACAGATACCCAGCTATTGTCTTACTGTTCTAACTGATAAATTATATTTGTTGCTTCCTGAGGATTAGCGTGTTCGGGACTGTTGTTCTCTCATTGATTCATTGTGCCGGATGCCATAGGTGTCGTTATGTTAAAACAACAGATGCGCTTACCATATCGTCCCCCTTTGCTATTCTGATGTTATGATCCGACTGTGCAATTTAGAGAGTGACCGACCCTGTTGGGACTTACGTGTTGTCCGTACGACAGGTCCTCTCCTTCACATTTCCCAAAATAATTCCACGATAATCTGTAAATCCTCGTATTTTCAGAATGTAAAAAAAATGGTTTCAGTCACGTGTTGGTTAGCTCAGTACTCAAGTACTCAAATGCCTTTGTCATTCTTTCAAATATATGACCAGAAAGAATCCCGGATGCATGATATCAAGTGACTAAAAATGTTGGAGGCAATGGTGGGTAATAAAGTGGAGTAAGGACAGTGCATGTACCCATGAGATAGGGGTGTAAGTGTATATCAGTGTAAAGGGATGATATACATACATTGTAGCAGAATTACCTCCTGACCTCTGTATTGTGTTTTAGGCTCCGACTGGCATAACATCCGGTCCGATCAATCTTGAAGGTTCATCGACGTCGTGCGCACCGGGCTCAGTGTTGAAGTCTGGATCTTGTGGTCAGTACACATCAAAACTGTATATTCCAGACACAGTGGTGCCTGAAGATTTCAGGACATCTATTTCACCTTATCATACAAATTACTTACCTTATCCCATTTCCAAAGGTAGTGGAAAAGTCTTTTGCTGTGTTCCCGGAGAAGAGAAACATATATCTCACCCAAATGCACCCCGAGCTGCACATGCAAACATGAACCACGTCACTTTGCCGATAACTCGTCTCTCTTTTATTTTCGCGGCAACGGAATAATTAGGAATGTTTGCTTGGTGCTCTGTCATCCGAGAGATCGTGTCGAAATTAACCGTTTGAAAAAAATACATTTAAGAAGTTCGATCTTAAGTGTTCATCACAATCTTCGTCATCCTCATGACGTGAGGTAACACCAATGCCTCCTTCAGAGGAAGCGGGGGGCACGGGTGGCCCAGTCGTCCAAGGTGCCGCGATTCGCTGTGCAGAGTTGCGTCCCTTGGGCACGCCAGAAACCTATAATTGTGGGTTCGAATCCCGGTTCGACTTCTCCCAGTTGAACACTGTACCATTTATTCCCATGGTCAACTGATTACAAGTAATAGTAACACAGTAACATTTCCCAATTACTGACTGGCAGTGAATCAAGTTCTTCTCCTCCAGTATAGCGTACCTGGCAGATACATAGTGGGCATGGTTTAATAAGAATATTCGAAACTATCATATTTTAACAAGCTTTATTCTTGTTTTATCGAAAATATATTATCGAAAATGTGCAGTTTAATGTGTTTGTAACTCAAGATGAATAGCACTAGCAAGTGAGAAATTATTCAAATATTCATTATTGGACTCAAATGAATGCTTTAAATCAATATGGTGACGAGAGCGTGTCGTGAGAGTGATGGGAACGTGATGGAAGGGTGAGGGATTTGCCTTGCTTTGCTTTGCTTTGCTTTGCTTTGCTTTCCTTTGCTTGCTCAATACCTTTGGACTTTACACATACTTGTTATGGAACACTTCTGCTTTTCGAGCACTGCACATCAGGCCTAATGGCAATAAGAACTTCGGGATAGAATGACATGTTATGTTTACCGCATGTGTTTTCTCCATATGAAAACAATAAGTGTTTGAATGTGTTAATCTCCAGATAATTGTTGTATTATTATTGATAAAGTGTGATCTTAACATGATAACCTTAAACTATATATACATTAAAGCGACAATGTACAATGTCCATAATTATACAAAATCTCCATTAAAAGCAGAGTCCATTTTATGATTCTGACTACATCATAAGCAAGTGTTTATGAATCACGATATAAAGTTTGGAAAACAGCTATAATTCTTATATTAACAATCTCATTTGTTACCCAAATCTGGTCAATATGTAATATTCCATGTTGCAGATGGCTGTTCTGGCACCATGTTGCAGGACGATTCATCTTTTTACAAAGTATTCGTCAATCTGTATTCCATGTAGCAAAGTGCTGTCCTTCTGGCACTCAGTTGCAGGCGGATGTCATTTACTTCCAAGTATTGGTCAATGTGTATTCCATGTAGCAAAGTGCTGTCCTTCTAGCACCGAGATGCAGGACGATTCCATAATTATACGAAATCTCCACTAAAAGCAGAGTCCATTATATGATTACAACTACATCATAAGCATGTGTTAATGAATCACTATTAAAGTTTGCGAAACAGCTCTTATTCTTGTTAATATCAGTTGTTACCCACATCTGGTCAATATGTAATAATCGATGTTGCAGATAGCTGTCCTTCTGGCAGTCAGCTGTTTTGTCTGTCTCAAATGAAAAAATTACTAGATGACCAAGGATTGGAGTGGTGCGTATGAGGAGACCTACTACTTGCCAAAATGTCCAATCTTCAATTTCACACTAAGGTTATCAATGAGGAAGTCCAGAATTCTTCATATTGTTTTCTTAAAATATTTCATATAACATTTGCTTTCATTTTCAACAAATTGTCCGGAACCTTTGACGAAAGAGAACTACATCTATGGTTGCAGTGTTAAGTCTGACTGTAGATGTTGAAGGAATGTTGTTGTCATGTATTGTTGGTGTGTTAAAGGGAGACAGGTGAGCACGACAAAGAACCCCTTTACTTCTCCTCTGTTTGCATGCTGCTGAGCACAGGAACTTTTAATGTTTTCCAGACAAATGTCCAGCTGGTCAGTACTTTCAAGACAGCAGCTGTAGCCCATGTCCACGTGACAAGTACCAGGAGGAAGAGGGCCAGGCCCCTGCTCAAGATAACAAAGGAGAACGGCATCAATAATGCAACTAAATGTTTCAGTGAGTAGAGTTCAATGTAAAATCAACCTGTATCTAAGGGCCCTGTAAGTTCATTGTGTTTATTTGTGCAGAAGAAACACAGATTTCAGTAATCGCTGCGGACAAAAGTATGTGTTTTAACAACACAGTATATATTGATATCTGAACTTATTAACACACCACTTTAAATATGCACACCAAACTCACTTACATTGGCCAAAGACAATGTGATTTATTTTCATAGGAAAATGATTAATTTTTGTAGTAGATGTTGATTTTAGAAAATTTCATAAACTAACTGATAGTTTACAGGCCAATGATGATGTTGAAGCTGATGTGAGTGCCCAGGCTGATCCCAAGATGACATTGTTATTCCTCTACCTCCCAGACTGTAATCTACATGCTCTACATGATTGACCGTGTGCAAACGAATCTTTGAACTTATAAGCCATTAGAAGACCAAACCAATTCAACAAAAGTATGTGGAAACATTGGAAAAGCAAGCCGATCTCACCCAGACACATGCACAGTCCTTACAAGAAAATATAAGACATTTGGCAGCAGAAGTATCTGAGCTAAAAATCATAACAACAGAGTTTGCTGTTTCATTAACATGGTCAAAAATCCAAACAAAGTGTCCTAAACAGGTCTTCAAAACCGTGATGTATGCCGAGACATTTTAAGTGAAACTTCACATCATGAAGACAAAGTTAGCTATTTTCTGAGGATGAACTACTACTTACTCTGATGAAACTCAGGAGTATCTTGTGTATGCAAGTTGTAGCTTTCAGATTTGGAAAATCAAAATGATCATTCAAGTCTTGTGCATTCAACTGGGAGGCCTTGTCTAGTGGCCAGAATCAATGGACATTAGCTTACCGACAGCATTTCACAAGACATTCCGAAGAGAAAGGTGTAAAACTGACTGTAACGTGGTCTTCAATGAAAGGCCAAGCAACAACACTGCCAGGTCACAGACACTCCGGGTACAACACAACACAGTCAGGTTTCTGATAGAGCCGTCATCTTCCTTTCTCTCGTTTGTTTGTGTGTTTGTTTGTTATTTAACGCTGCACTCAGCAATATTCCAGCTATATGACAGCGGTCTGTAAATAGTCGAGTCTGGACCAGACAGTCCAGTGATTGATCATCGATCCACGCGATTGGGATACGAGGACATGCATCAACAAAGTGAGCGAGACAAGCATAGTCGCCTTTGACGGCAAGCATGGGTTGCTGAAGACCTATTCTATCCAGGATCTTCACGGGGACCTTTCTCTTGTGTGGGGTGGACGAGTCAGTGACAAGGTCGTCTCTCTTCAAAATGACATCATTGAGAAATTTGTACCAGGTAATACAGATACCCATCTGTTTTATCGTATTGTGTAAAACGGGCGTCAGAATAGCTCAATGGATAACGTGTCGGACTAATGTGTGACAGGCCCAGATTCGGGTAGTCAGCACATTTGTCTGAGCTGAATTTAGTTACTAGGTGACATCAGATTTAAAACTACTTTTCACTCACATACTCATTATAGTCTCAGTGTAAGATCCACAGTGAATTTATTTTCAGAATTGCTATCCACTTGAATTCAGTCGCATAGGATATCCACCCAAATTGACCTTATTTCTGTATTTTTACAACTAAATCACTAATTTATCTGCAGGTGGTGTAGTTTTGGCTGACCGAGGCTTCTTCATCAACACTGAATTGGCAACTGGGGCTGCAAAGCTATACTCCAAAAGAAGAATCTCATGGCAAGAAGTAGAAACATCAAGGATGTCAAGGACACTGGTTGCGAGTCATGGTCACTGGTTGCAAATCATCAGCTTCCTCAAGGACAGGGCTGTTGTAAAGTGTCTCCTGTCTATCAGTCTTGTCAAGAGAATGAAGAACTCTATGAAATGCACTGTGGGCAAGATAGTACACGTGCGTGTTGCCTTGGTGAACCTATGTCCTCCAATCATTGAGTAATTACGGCAATTGCAAATTGTACAAGGATTAGACAAGGAACAAGACCAGTGTTCATCAAATAAATTGTACTTAATCGTCTCCTGTTGATAACTACAATATACTTTTAAACTTAATTGAAAAATAACAGGGTATATATGCATAGATCAGAAATGAAAATAAAAAAACTGACAGAAACAAGATAAATTATTTTGCAAAATTATCTCCCCTTGACCAACTATTAACTTGAATACTTGCAACTGTAGCAACTAGAATATACATAAACATCTATTACGATTAGATTAATCTTAAAACGTGAAAAAGATGCTTGAAATGGATGATTGTAAGTGTATCTGTAATTACACAATACAGCATATGTAAATACAATTTTCAACACTCAATGCATTAGCAGTGTTTTGACTCATACATGAGTTTGTTGCTTTTATCTGCTCTTGCTCAACTGACTTCCACTCCCTACTCAGATTGTAACCACGTGATGAAAACTCAATGATGGTGCTTATCGTTAGCAAAGTGGATATTTCTCGTGCAGTACTCTTCGCAATTTCTTAAATCCATCTCAATAAATCATTTAGGAGCCGATGGTCGCATGACAGGGCTTATACTAGTCCTGACTAATACTGGTTTCATAGTGCTGGTCGACCGAGATACTACAGCTTAACGTGGACACCATATGCATGCTCACATACTGCTTTAAGGTGCAGTGCTAACCCATGGATTCCTGCCCAGCCAGTACATAAGTGTAAAAGCAAGCACATACCCAGCTCACACGAACATGTCATAAAAACATCCCTAAAAACATTTCACGAAATGTTCCGGAAAAGTTTTTAAAAACGTTTTGTTCACGTGGTTTTATATGGTTCCAGAAACGTATTAGAAACATTTTCCGGAAACATTTGGTCATAACTTTTCTAAAATGTTTTGATAAAATATTCCAGAAATGCATTTAAAAACTGTTTTATTTACGTGATTTTGTATGGTTCCAGAAACGTGTTAGAAACATTTACTGTAAACATTTGATTATAACATTTCTAAAATGTTTTTGTAAAATATCCCAGACATGTTTTTAAAAACGTTTTAATCACGTGAATTTTTATGGTTCCGGAAACGTTTTAGCAACATTTTCTGTGAACATTTGGTCATAACGTTTCCTAAATGTTTTTAAAACGAACCAGGGCGTCAGAAAAGTTCAGTGTTTTGCTGCCAATATTCAAAACGTACAACACCAACTGTTAACACGATACAAATGATTATGACAAATGTCAGGGACAGTACCCCTTCAGAGATGTACTGCATAAAACACAATATCAATGACCAAAACTAATCCATGCCATGTCTTCAACATTCAGTCAACAAAGAACATCAAGACTCAGTTCTGTGGAGATTTTAATATTTTTAGAAAACTATTACATCTTTCGAAATTATTGATTGTCAGAATCGGCTTCTAAAGACGGTTTTTCAAATATATAGTTAAATATATATATATTTATATATATTTGTAGGTGTTTGGTTGAAACATATTCTAATATTCATTCAAAAACATATAATTGCTTGCGGTCACTATAATAGAATAATAGTGTCATGCATCACATTGAATATAAAAGGTGGTACACCAGGAACTCACATAATGGTCATTGGCTGAGTGCAGATATAAATTCAATTCTTACCATTCATTTATAGCCACAAAACCATCAAAAAATACTCGATCCAGTAGCTCATGGTATTTAACAACAGTTTCTGCACTTCCGTTTCCATCATTCACAGCCCCTGGTGTATTCCTCAATACATCCAACATTTCCGTGTGTATCTCCTGGAATGCTGGTGTCTCCTTTACCCACTAGCTGCAGCGAAAACAATGTTCCACATTATAACGAAGTAATAACTTTAACTATATTCAGATAGCATTATATAGTTAACCGAAAGATGAAATATATTATATAGGTTCATAACATTGTTGGGGAAAAACATTTGTGCACATTTAATATCTACAGAAATAACATCAGCATAAATAACATAACGTCTTCGAATAACATCAGCCTTCAGATAAGTACTGTACTATAATTAAGAAATAATTTAACATTTTGTTTCCACATCATACTCCAAGTCGCCCGAAGTATGGGCGAGGCAAACCAGTGACTGACTGTGAGCAACATCCTAGGAACTCGAGGCACCAAGACACACAATCAATCCAGCCATCTTGTCACCCCTTGGCTTACGATAAACATGGATTAGGGTCTGGAGAATTATTCTAAACTGATATCCAAACGGGAAAAGATGTATCAAACACCCATCGTAACCTAGCAACGAATCAAGCGGTCATCGCGGAACAGTTTATATATTGAGAGCAATTTCGTAGCATTATAACCAGCTGGTAACCAGATTCGTTCAGTCTTTCTTCTTTTTTCCTCTCATTGTTAAAAACAGTGAATGAAGTATATGAACTTTATTTGGTCCAATATTTACTGAACAGAGCCAAATCAAGTTCAATATAATTCTGTATCATGACAAAACATGGTGATCGAATACTGTTGCAATCATTTTTAATGAATCATTGATTTTATAAGCCTAAATTGTGTACCCCAATTTCCTTGTTACAAAAGCATTTACGATCACTATTTTGATGAACGATAACAAACTCACTGAAAATAAATATAGTGTGATACCTTTTGACAACTGACACCCGGTTAGAGCGTGCACGTTACAGCGCCTGATACGTTTTAATTGGAAGGGAAATATATCCGAAATGATGAATTGATTATGTTTGGGGAATATTATAAATACACAGTGTAATCACCTTGCTTCAATGTAACTGCAGCAATACAGTTTAGAGGGCGCAGCTTCGCACGCAACCAGCAGCTCAATATTACCGACTGTGTCGCTATACCGTTACCGCGGCTCACGCTCGACCGCATTTATAAATAAAACAACCTGAAGATCGACATATAGTTCAGTCAGTGCCAACTCACAAGAATGTGTCTCTTATTTCTTCTCGAAAATACGGGTTTATTAACCTAATATTACGCTTAAGACGTTGACAGTAACTAGTAGCCTACAGTACTAGTCGACCGGAAAGTATTTCCTTTGTTTTGACTGTTCCTCTTCGAATCAACTCGAATATTTCCCACGGACTGGAACGAGCGAAATTGCTGATTGTTTCAAAAGAATCAAAGTTAGTATTACAGTAAACTCTAAATAATACACTTTAAAAATAACAAGGACGAAATGGCGATTGTAGTGGCTGGTAGGCCGTTACGCTATACACTTACGATCGAAAACCGAACACCCACAATACAGCCTAATGACCGGCAAAGTACAAAGTTTCTTTCATAAAAAACGGACCCAAGGACACGAAACATTGATATATTCGAAGCATGCGATCCATTGACGTCACAATGACGTTTGACAATCGTCCTGATAAGCTCTGATAGATGTGGAAGTTCTTCTCCAATACTTACGGAATGGTGACAACAAGAATTGCTTGCGAAATGAATCATATTTCTCAGAACGTTGGACAAATGTGAACGTCAGATTAACAGATTTTAAACCAAGATGAAATATGTCTTGGCACTTACTCACTTATGACGGGGATGTTCGCAATAAGTTTCATCAATCTAAAATAGGATGTTATTGTCCTACGTGATCCGGTCTTACACAGGGATGAAGACAGATGTGAATGAAAAATCACAGAACGTAGACATTACATGGTCATGTGACTTGTGATTACACATTCCTCGGTAGTTCGAATGCTAACGTGACTGTACTGAAGTAATGTATTCACGTAATCTCTAGCACCAGCTACCGTCGAGAGTTGCTGGGTTAGATCGAGGGTCAGAGGGTCAGATGTCAATAGCAGGCACCCGAGTCCCTTTTTTAGGGGCCATCATCTGCAGCAGGAAGTTGACAAGGTCTTGGTTGTCCTTGCAGATGTTATACAGAACAACGTTTTGGAGTGGAAAGTCGTCATGACTGGGACATCTAAGTCCGAACCAGGGTACCCAGGGTAACCAACCATCAATTTCGGGTGTACCCACCTGAGATCTGCAGCGTAGTGGTTGTCGCAGATGTTGTAGATAAATTGATTCCTGATGCTGGCACCTCCGTGCAGGATCATGTTGACCTGACTTAACCCGTCAATGTCCAGCTGGCTGGAGTGTCCCCCTGCTATGTCCAGTAACGTAGGATACCAGTCCACAGCATGGAGCATGTCAGGGTGGGTGTAGTCTGTCTTCTTCAGTAGAGTTTTGCTGTAGAAGAAGCCCACTTCACTGGTACCTCCCATAGTGTGACTTATCCGCCCCTCAGTGGCCAGTTATTAGCGCCGTGCGTAGGAGGTCCACGATTGTGTGTTGTAAATACAAGAGGTAGGTTGTCCATGAATTCAAGGTCCTCGATGACAGTAATTTGTCAACCATCATATTTATTTCATGAATGCGTCTGTATCGGCTTAGCGGGCACCTGCAGTGGTCCATGTACAGCTTGGAACGGCAGATATAGATACATCGGCTTGGATTTGTCATGGTTCATTATGATATCAATGGCTCTCTTCGCAAACATATGTGTAGAGTACTCTCCTTGGGCGCCCTTGTACACATCTGTCATGTTCCTGAAGTCATAACCATAGTAATCAGCCACCTCGTCCCTGACATGTGTGAAGTAGTCCTCCATACCTGCATAGTAGCCAATGAAGGTGTCAAAGCCTCAGTAGGTGGGCGTGTACTTCCAATCACAGAAGCCTAGGTGCCATTTGCCGACCATGTGGGTATCATACCCGAGGGTCTTCAGCCTCTGTGGGATGGTGTTCAGATCAGCTGGCATGTACTTGGGCTGTTATATGAAGACCACACCATCCTGGAGCCCTGTGTGGTAGGAGAACTTGGCAGACATGAAGCAGTCTCTGCAGCGGCTGGACGTAAGAGGAGTTTAGGATGAGGATGAGGCGGTCAAGTGTCGGTGTCTGGATGTCAGGTTGATCCAGCCGACGCGTTCCAGCCAAGGCCATCTGCCACGATGAATAATATGTGTGGTTTGTCTGCAGCAGTGCTGATCTTTAAACACGAAACGACCATAACAGCGAGGACAGCTTT